AAGCACATGCTCATGGGTCATGTGACTCATCAAATGCATCATTCCTGGGACTAGTCCTGTCCGAAAATCCTGAGGACTGTCTTCAGTCCTCAGGAATGGACCCCCACAGGACTCAAAAAATTGGCTGGCACATCAGCCAATATAGAGTCCTGGTAATCCTCAGGAATCCTCAGGAATCCTGCAGGAATCAGTGGGGGACAATAAAGACCTTGAGAATTGAACCCTCGATGTCATCAATAATACCAATGCTAAAGCCAACTGAGCCATGCAGGCTTTATTATATGTTAAATAAAAGGTAGCTATATACCGCACCAAGAGGTCTTTACCCTCCCCCACATAATCCATATGGACTCCAGTGGACTCCAGTGGATTCCAGTGGCCCTCTTACCAGGCCAGATTGGCTGGCAGAATGCCCAGTCCAGTCCAGTCCAGTCCAGTCCACTGGACTCCCACTGGACTGCCAGCCACTTTTCAGAGTCCAGTCCCAGTCCAGTGGACTATGAGTCCAGTCAGAGTCCAGTGGAGTCCAGTGGATTCCAGTCATTCCAGTATATTATTATTATTATATATGAATATAACTAAAAAAGCGAAAATGACCTATACAATAGACAAGCTATACCTACAATTTTATTAATCAATGAATGGAAAGATTATAATTTACATATAGTGTGGGTCAGTGATAGCTGCAATAAGGATTCATGATTTTGTTCAGTCTGCGGGGTGAGGTCACGTGACTTACTTGAGGGCATGCCATATCGTCATGTCGCCTGTTTGTGGGATGGTCACACTGCCGTGACCATTCCTTTCCCTTCCACCACCACCACCATTCACCTCTCAACGCCGCCGACGACGCCCACGCCCATGCTAACAATGCACACGACGCCCACGCCCATGCTAACGACGCACACGACACCCACGCTAACGACAACGACACCCCCAGCGCGGAACGATGGACCAAGGACGAGGGACAACGCCCATGACGTGGCAACGTCATGGGCAAGGGGTACGTATGCCCCACCACCCCATTCCTCCGTTCTCACCACGACAGGCATGACGCCAGCAACCACCCATGCACGGCACATGGACAGCAACAACAACGACACGTGAGCACGACAACGACACGCAAGCATGATGACATGCAAGCACGATAATGATTCTTTTCCTCCACTAGACCCATTCTACTATAAACGGAGATAAGCTGACAAATAGTCTTCTTATTTGGTAACCTCAATCCCTCTGTCCTTTGCTCTATAACACTCTGCATGTCCCTCATTCCAGGTGTGTCCATTTCAAAATCTGAAAAGCAGCAATTCAACTTTTTTCTATCAAAACTGCCTTACTTGTGCTTCTTGTAATTACTACCTTGTTGGTTATCCTCTTCTTTCAGGGAGAAAACAGAATGTTGGAACTGTGGTAAATTTTACACTATCACCCCAACCTACCAAGTTGTTTGTAGCCATGAGGAAACAACTTGTGTTTATCGTGACCCCAACTCTGCAAATGTGTCCTGCATCATAGTTCTGGAAAGAGCAGGTAGATATTTCATATGTATCTGTTGTGGAAAGAGGACCAGAGTATGAAAGTGACTCTTTGCTTTGAAATTCCCTCTGACAGCTGCTCATCATTAGTAGGAGCATGCACGCAAATGTTATGGTCCTGCAAATGTGAGCAGGGTCCTTCAAGCTGTGATCCATCTCATTAAGATCCTTCAACCAGCCTGTCAAAGGGAAGGCAAACACACACATGGCCCCACTGCAGATTCCCCTCAATGATGCCACTATGTCTACTCCAAATGAACAGCCATTTGTGCCAATGATTCTGCAGAGCAAGACAATTCAGGGACACTTGGATAGTTTCCACCATTTCACCCTTAAGCCATTCTATGAACATCTCAGCTGCATCTGAGGCACCAGTGTCTCATGCAAACTCCAGAGGCAATATCCCTGTAGCTTCCACACTGGGTGGCAGACCCACAGAGTGGGGATGCTGTTACCTGGTGTAATGCTCTTGTTATAAACTCTCTTTCTTCATATGTACAGCTGCCCACTATACTTAACAACTGTAACAGCTCTGGCATCCCAGAGGGGAGGCATTAGGACACCTGGCCATATATCGTAGCTGTGACCCAATCCACACACCTTTGAGTGATGTGGCTAATAGGGAAGGTACATATGGATGGGTCACACCCAGATATAACTAGAAACAAACAAAGTACAATCTTAGCATCCAATGTCATGCAAGGAGCATACTAGGTAATGGACAGCTGTTACAATCCATCTTGGGCTGCATCATAGCTTAGGCCATCTCCCCCCCTTATACCAGCAAGTCTCTCTGCTCCACACCCAAACCCCCCTTCTCCCTGCTGAATCCTGCCCACTCCTCACCCATCTCTCCCCTTGACCTCCCAATAAAGACTTCAATGACCATCCACTCAGTAAAAGCAGGAATGACAGATGGTCAACTCCCAGCTTCTATCATTTCTTTGGCCTGTGCAAGAGCTGCAGTACATTCTAAATATCATCCCCAGGCAAAGTGCAGGCCTGTAGCTGAACAATTTGTATAATTAGGATTGATATTAAGCTCTTCAATAAGACACTTTCTCAATGCTGGAGACAGTTTGTCTTTTCCAATGAACCAGTGACCTAGAGATGAACCTTGTTCAACAGTGGATGAAAAATGACCAGCAGATGTAATATGAAAGCCTGCATAAGAGCCAGAGTGTGCAGATACAGAATGAGACCCAATGCTAGAACCAAGATGGTCTGTAAATGCAGGCAGAGATATCTGTTCTGCTCATCATCTGACTACTCTAGATAGTTTTCATCTGTTGGTTTGCACTTCATGATTGATTCATAGTGTCCTTGGACACTCCAGCCATCTTCTTCATATTTGAAGATGCGATAGGCAGGTTCTATGTAGAGTGATTAATATATATATTTACCAGAAATAGTCTTGGGAACCAAGACCAATAACATCTTGAATGGTTTCAAACTTGCTGATATCAGAGACATTGGCAATGAAAGAGGACTTGGTGATGTCAATATCAGGTGGGTTAAGGTTTGAGATATAGAAGTGAATCTTTCCCTTGACTGGTTTCTGAGCTAGACCCTCTCTAGAAACATCCATCTCCTCCCAGACTTTAACAGCATCACTGATCTTAATGGCATTGCCCAGAGCTTTTCCCAAGAAGACTCCACCAGTTGAACATGATGAGCCATATGCAGGAATTGTCCCTTTGGGTGGACTAGCCATTACTGTATCTGTATTTGAGAAAGTTTAAAACAATAGAATAAAATACAGATAGGTAAAGGGTACCTTCATGGTGTGTAGATGCTGCTTGACTTGGATTGCCATCATGCTTCAGCTGCCACCCACAAGAAATTTCTAAAGTTTACTTAGCACCAAGCCACAGTACTAATACATGATATATAAATAAAAATAAAAACATCTTCACCCATGATGGATGAAAATGGACACAAGTCCCTGACATCTTAACTATCGGGATGGGTGGTGGGTTACCTACCATCCCAATATTGAGATGAGTTTTCACAGTCAGGTTCCTTTGGTCTCTGTGGCCTGTTCCTCATAGTCAGCCCATTGGTCAGAATCTTCTTGGTTGTCATCATTGTCGTTGTTCTGCCTGTGTTGGCTGCATTTGACTGGCTGCTCATCAGTGTTTGACAGTTGGTGCTTCCTCAACTTTGCCAGCGTGGTCTTCTTTTTCACCATACATGCATGGTGGTGGGTTTGAGCAAGGTGTGGTGGTTGGGTGTGTTACAAGGTTGGAAGGTGGTGGTGGGAAGACAAAAGACAATGACATGGCAACAAAGCCAACATGTTTGGTCAGCTTTCAGAATGTGCCAGGAGCGAGGGTATATCATTTGTGAACATTGTGGAGCTAATAAAGCCTTCATGGTGTAGTCATTTATTGTGGTGGTAAAAGCTGCCCAAGTGATCAAGTAATCAATTCCTGGTCATCCTTTCTCA